CCTCTTCACTTACCGTTGGCGCCGATCCGCACCATGGAGCGTGAACATCTTCGGGCGGCCCGTTGAGGGGCCTCTTGGCAACCTGTGGACATCTTCGGCCTGCTCGTTTGGGCCTCATGCCGTTCGGTCGGGCCTTCCAATGGTCATAATTTTGGATTGCGTAGCCATCCTCCTGACAAGGCACCCCGTGCACGAATGTGGTGTTGTTGTACTCTTCCCGATTAGCATGTGTCGGCACTTGCGACAGATGCGACACACGTTTGTGTGTGCTGCCTTTGCTCCACTGTCGTTCATGGCCAACGTGCACCAAAGATTGTCGCTGCTGCTGCTAATTGGTGTGCTGCTCGTCGTCGTTGTCGTCTTCCACATTTGTTTTCTGGAGCACGTTTGTGAAAGGTAACCGACGAGGCGATCATCGAAGAAGGCGAGAAAGACGGACAACTGTCTAACGAACAGCGCGCCGACAGTAGGGTTGAGTGGATCTTTACAGCAGCGATATACCCCCATGCAGGATGGCACACGCCATACAATCCGACGTTGTACAACCACCTGACATCGCACGAGATGACGTTGCCTCCAAGTGACGACGAGGGCGAGGAACATCGATCTTCAACGGTTCCTCTCGGCCGCGGTTCCACACAGGATTAGATAAGAAGCCAGTTCTTGAGACGGTCGACGACGCCGACTTATACAGAGCTGCTGGAGGGACGGAGTCCGACTGGCTACGGTGTCGTCACCCTGTACGGGGACGGCCGGTCCATACTCCTGTATGACCGTACGTACGGGTGCTCAACGCCCATACAGCCTGTACGTAAGGACTTTGGGCCCTCCGTACACGGCCTTCCGGAGGGGTGTTGAGGGGGTCGATGGGCCAGGGGTGGGTCGGATGTCGAGGGGTACCCCCCCTCCATTCAAAAAGAAAAAAAAGATTTTTTTTTTTCTGTCCCCGGTGTAAAAAAAAAAAAAAAAAAAAGATTGATTGATTGAGTAATTGGTTGATTGATTGATTGATTGATTGCTTGGTTGATTGGTTGATTGATTGTTTGATTGGTTGGTTGATTGATTGATTGATTGATTGATTGATTGATTGATTGTAAAAAAAAGAAAAGAAAAGAAAAAAAATCCATTCAAAAGAATGATCGGTTGATTGATTGATTGATTGATATGTAGTGGGGGGGTCGCCTCCCCCCCCC